GGGAGGGGGGGGTAGCTGTAAGTCCCCCCCTTGCAACAAAAAAAAACGGGGGAGGGGGGGGTGCTAACAACAAGGGCGGCTCAAGGTAGGGGGGGGGTGGAGTTGATAAAACCGCGTGTGCGTACCACCTCGTTTTGCTGCGTTGCATCGCCATCACCAGCATCATCATCATCCTTGTAATCAATTTGTAATCCGCCACAAAAAAAAAAATCCATTTCAAATCCGCCACAAAGGGAATCAATTTGAAACCCGCCACAAACACAATTGATTTGTAATTCGCCACAAAAGGGATCCATTTGTAATCCGACACAAAAGGGATCACTGTATATTTTGCCACACAAGGAATCAATTCGTAATCCGCCACAAAAGAAAACCTTATGTAGGGAGGGGGTGTAAATGGTGGGTCAATCGCTACTAGGATTCTATGAGAGGTGGATCCATCTGTCATCGGATTCTACTAGGATGGAATATCTGGAATGGGATGATCTTAGAGGTGGATCCATCGTTAATAGGACCCCACTAGATGTGGATCCATCTCATATAGGATTCCATTACAGGTGGATCCATGTCTAATCGGATCCCATTATAGGTGGACCCACCTCTAATAATATTCCATTAGAGGTGGACCCATCTGTAATAGGAATTCGTTAGAGGTGAATCCATGTGTAGCAGGATTGTATTAAAAGGTGGACCCATCTCTGTTAGGATTCCATTTGGAGCGGATCGATATGTAATAGACTTTCAGTTGAGATGGGCCCATCTCTCATAGGATTCCATCAAGTGTGGATCCAGCTGTAGTCGGATTCCAGTAGAGATGGATCCATCTGTACCAGGATTCTAGTAGATGTGGATCCATTTGAAATAGGGTTCCATCAGAGGTGGACCCATATGTATCAGGATTCTGGTAGGATTGAATTGGGGGTGGACCCGTTTGTATTACGATCCTATTAGAGGTAGATCCATATGTAATAGTATTCTATTAGAAGTGGATTCATGTCATGTAGAACCCCATCAGAGGTAGGTGAACCCATCCCTAATACGATTCTCTCAGAGGTGGACCCATATGTAATAGGATTATATTAAAGGTGGATCCATCGGTCATAGGGTTCTGTTAGAGATGGTTCCATCCGCATTAGGATTCCATTGGATCCATCTCTAATCAGATACTACTAGAGGTGGGTCCATCCTTAATAGGATCCCATTCGAGATGGATCCATTTGTCACAGGATTCTCTTAGAGGTGGACCAATCACTAATAGCATGCCATTGGGGATGGAACCATCTTATTAGGATTCTATTAGAGGTGGATCCATATGTAATTGGAGTCCATTAGAGGTGTATCCATGTCTAATTTGGTGTTATCAGAGGTGGATCCATCGTTAATAGAATTATATTCGAGGTGGGCGCATATGTAATGGGGTTCTATCAGACGTGGGTTCATTTGTAAAAGGATTCTATTAGAGGTGGGTCCATCCGTACCAGGATTCCATTCGAGGTGGATCCATCTCTGATGTGATGCCATTAGTTGTGGACCCATCTTTAATGGGATTCTATTAGAGGCGGATCCATATGTCATAAGATTATATTTAAGGCGGTTCCATATGTAGTGGGATCTTATCAGGGGTGGATCCATCTCTAATCGGATTCTATGGAAGGTGGATCCATATGTAATAGGATTCTCTCGGAAGTGGATCCATCTGTAATACGATTATATGAGAGGTGGGTGTCTTTTGTGATGACGATGATGATGATGACGAGCATGTGTTTCAAGATGCTGCTGACGATGATGATGATGACGAGCATGTGTTTCAAGATGTTGTTGGTGATGATGGTGATGACGAGCATGTGTTTCATTGCGCTGCTGATGACGATGGTGATGACGAGCATGTGTTTCAAGATGCTGCTGATGACGATGGTGCTGACCAGCATGTGTTTCAAGATGCTGCTGATGACGATGGTGCTGACCAGCATGTGTTTCAAGATGCTGCTGATGACGATGATGATGATGATGACGAGTATGTGTCTCAAGATGCTGCCCATGACGACGGTAACGACGAGCATGTGTTTCAAGATGCTGCTGATGACGATCATGATGATGAGTATGTGTTTCAAGATTCTGCTGATGACGATGGTGATGACGAGCATGCGTTTCAAGATGTTGCTGATGATGATGGTGATGACGAGATGCGTTGGGAGCAATGCGTTGTCATAATGAGTTCCACAGAGCATAATCGAGTGGGAAGCACAGCCCACCAGACTAAAGTTATCCTCTCTTTACCCTTCTTCCTCCTCCTCCTCCGCCTCCACCGCCGTCTCTTCCTTCTCACCCCTCTTACTTCCAGTGGGTGAGCGCCGAAGCGCGTTCCAGAGAGACTAGTAAGCCTTAATGTCTCGATTCTCCGGCCTCCGGAGGCCCGAAACAAAAAATATTAACGGATTACAAATTGATTTCTTTTGTTGTTGAATTACAAAAGGGAATCCTTTGGTGGGGAACTACACATTGTTTTATTTTGTGGCAGATTACAACAGGATTCCTTTTGTGGAGAATTACAAAAGGATTTCTTTTGTGGAGGATCACATGATGATTCTTTTTTGTCGCGGATTACAAAAGGATTCCTTTTGTGGAGGATTACAAGAGGATTCCTTTTGTGGAGGATTACAAAGGGATTCCCCTTGATGGAGGAATACAATAGGATTCCTTTTGTGGAGGATTACAAATTGATTTCTTTTGAGGGCTCTCCTGGAAGTGAACCAGGGGACAAAAGAAAAAAAAAAAAAAAATCCGAAAATCATTGAAAATTTAAAAATACATGTTTTCAATGAATTTCCAATGTTTTGAAGCAAAAACATATAAAAACACAGCATTTCCAAGGTTTTGAGGCCCACACCATATGAAAACACAGCATTTTTGTATTCGGATTGTGAAAATGCTGTGTTTTTATATGTTCCTGCTTCAAAACATTGGAAAATCATCGAAAACCCGCAATTTTCTTAATTTTCAATGATTTTATGTTTTTTTGTTTTTTCTTTTGTCCCCTGGTTCACTTCCAGGAGAGCCCTCAAAGGAAATCAATTTGTAATCCTCCACAAAAGGAATCCCATTGTATTCCTCCACCAAGGGGAATCCCTTTGTAATCCTCCACAAAAGAATCCTTTTGTAATCCTCCACACAAGGAATCCTTTTGTAATCCGCCACATAAGGAAACAACTTGCAATTCACAATGAACAGAATTCCCTATTAATTCCCCACAAAAGAACTCAATTTAAAATCTGCTACAACAGGAATCGTTCTGCATCCCACTACTTTGAGCAATCCCTTTAAAGATGACGAAAAGCATAATCAACAGGAAAGCAAGCAAATGAGAAGTAATAGACCAAAAACCGAGGTGGTACACACACACACACGGTTTTATCAACCTTGCGGGGGGGGGGGGCTTAAGCCTAGCCCCCCCTCCCCTTTGCTCGGGCCCTGTGAGCGCGCTCTCTCTAAAGTAGGTAGGAACATCATAAGAATAATTAGGTGTCTAATCGGAATTTCCCGCATTGAGTGAAACTTTAATTGCAAAGTGAAATTACACTAGAGAAACCCCAATCAGTGGATGGTTTGAAATGGGATCGGTAAAAAGATGGATAAGGAGATCGACCGGGAATCCAGGAACCTGGAACGCACCGAAATCGGCCCGGAACCAATGACCAGGAACCCGGGAACCTGGAACCGGGAACTCGGGAACCCAGCTGGCCACCAAAATCGGCGGGAAGGTGTCGCCAAATGTTCCTTATTCCGCTAGGACCCCTTAAGTGCAATCGTTGATTGGGGAATCGGATTTCCCGAATTGAGTGAAACTTTAACTTAAAGTGGAACTAACCAGCGGTGGCGGCAACCATGGGCATGCCCATGGTTGTCACCGCCGCTCCCGGGTGGCAGCACATACCCTGCCCATGGTTGTCGTTCTGGCCCCCTTGCCGCCCCAGACCCTCGATGCATTGTCTCTCGCCGCAATGAGACCCCCGCGTCTTAGGCCTCCTAGAAAAACAACAACGACAACAACAACAACAATTTTGAGACCGTTCGCCCTTATATGCTCGAGTGTCCAATAACGCGTGTTTCCCAAACCCTCGATACCCGCCCTCTTCGTCTTCGATCGAAACCCCTTTTGGGGGTACACCTTTCTTCCCTGCAGGCAATAATGCGGGGCCACAAAAGGCAACTATGGGGCCACTGGGGGTAACAACTGGGCCACGTAGGACAGTAAGGGGGACACAAATGGCGACAGCGGGGCCACGAAGGGCATGCACATGGGGCCACAACGGGCGCGACTCCTGGGTGCCTGGGTGTCGGGAGCGCGGCGCTTGGGCAAATTGCAGGAAAGTCCAACGCAAGGCCATTCTTCAGTAAGTTGCAAGCAAGTCTCAAGCGAGAGCGCGACTCCAGAGCGCCGGAAGAGCGATTCCTGAATAAATTGTAAGAAAGTCCCAAGCGAGAGCGCGATTCCTGAATAAGATGCGGGGAAGTCTCGGGCGGGAGCGGGGGTCCTGGCTAAATTGTAAGGAAGTCTAAAGCGGGAGCCGTTGTTGTTGTAACCCGGGGGCCAGGGGCCCAGTTTGAGCATCAAGACTTCCCATGTCAAAAAACAGGGTGCGAGCGTCGAGGAGCACACTTTGATTGAGAAAAACAGTATGCACCGGTGGGGGGGTATCAACAATAATTATTTGTCAGAAATGATAATTCAACAACAACAACAACAACAACAACAACAACAACAACAACAACAACAACAACAACAACAACAACAACAACAACAACAACAGCGACAGCGACAGCAACAGCAGCAGCAGCAACAGCAACAGCAACAGCAACAGCAACAGCAACAGCAACAACACAAACAAACACAACAACAACAACGACAAGCAAACACAACAAACAACAACAAAACACAAAATAACAACAAAACGAGGGGGGAGAAAACAAACACATCGAGTTTCTCCAGCCGTTGGAGGTCTGCGGGGGGCAGCCTGCTCGACAGGAGGCGGCGCAGCGCCGCGGGCACAGCCAGGGCTCCGGGCTGGCCCTCGGCGCCTGGTGGTGGCTCATGGCCGGGATCGCCGCCGCGGCCGTTGCGTTCACGGGAATTGTTGGCGTTCGGAGGGCGCCACCTTCTTCTTTAGGCCTCCCATACGGGGTCCGAGTAGATGGGGTCGGAGGATCGTGCCGCATCGGCGATGCATCGCCGATGCGGCTCGATGCGGTGCCCGATTTGCTTCATGTCGACGTCGCCGATGTATCGCCGACGTCGACGACGCATCGCCGGCGCATCGCCGATATATCGCCGATGCGTCGCCAACGCATCGGCGATGTGGCGCGATTTTCCGACGCCATCTATGAGGAATGTGAAGCGTTCCAAAAAGGGCCTCGCCGTCGAGGATCGAAGGAGTTGACATATTTTCCTCGGCGGAAGCCGGCGGAAGTAAAACAGCGGCGGCTGCGCCGGCGGAAGCAAAAGTCGACCTCCAAAGACATGACACTTGTTCGGGGTTGAAGGTTTCCGGAATCTGCCATGTGTATCCAGGATTCCCAGAGTCGGCAATGTTGGTTCAAGTCAGCAATTTGGGCACGAAGCATTGTATGTAAGTCCGCGTTGTGTTTCAATGGCGCCGCTGATATTGTTGCTGAACGATAACTTGCCAGCCTGTCTGGCTGGCACCACTGCTGTCGGGACCGCCTGCTTCTGCTGGCTCCGGTGCAGCAAGAGGATACACCCACAGGAGTCACAGGACAACCCACGGGAACTGGGGACACTAAAGGAATTACGAGAGCTCGTCTCCGGCAAGCGAGCATTGCACGTCAAAGGTTTCGGCGGCGGCTTCGGCAACAGAGCGCACAGTGCCGACCAAGAAACCAGTCAAGTTCGCCGCGCCGTCCAAGCCATCCGAAGTTTCGGCCCAGACTACTTGGTGGTCGACGGCGATCCTTGGGGCGACGGCTTCCAGCGCTACGTCAAGGCTTTCGCGGACGAGCGCCGGAGATCCCATCTGTCAGTGCCAGAGCTCGTCTGGGTGAAGGACATCAAGGGGGACTCGCCCACCAGTGAAGAGCGCACGAAGAAGCTCGGGAAGGCTTCAGAGTGGGCCAAGGAGACAGGTCTCAGGGTGGTGGTTTCGTGGCTGCCAGAATCCGCAATCGCTAACGGCATGAATAGCTTGTTCGGCACGGATTGCTCGGAAAAGCTGAAGGGGAAGAAATTCGACGTCAGGGGCGAAGTGCGGTTGTTGTCAGGTCAGCTCGAGTGGGTGCGAGGAATGGCGGCGGCGAGTGATCCATCGCAGATAGAAATTCTCAGGGCCATAGAAGCCGTGGAGAGCAGGGAAAGCAAGCAGTACTTCGAGAAGTGCAGCTTCGAGAATTCCGCCAAGGGCAATGCGATCTACCAGCATTTGAGGGGCGATGGGCACAAGCCGGACGCACATGGGGCCGTGAGCTTCGGGGGCGGCGAGAGCGTGCTGCTTGAGTTCGCAACCCTCTACTTGTTCCCTGGCTCTGGCTTCGACAGGGAGCAGGCCGCGCTCTTGCCGCTCACGCGTGGCAGGGGCGATTCGGACCCGAAGCTGCCTGAACACGAGGGCAGCGCATTCAGAAGATGAAGGTGTGCCTTCGCGGAGGTGATAGGCGATAGGCATGTAAACAAAGACCATAACAAATCCGGAGCACGCTGCACGATGAGGCATGGGCCCATAATACTCGCGCCGCACATCAGGTGGTAGCGTCAGCCACTTGTTCAGGGTGTTTTCGGTGAGGTTTCAACGCTTCATGGCGCAATCGCGACGAACGCTTCTACAAAAAGAGGTTGGTGTTCAAGTCTTGCGGGTTTGGCCCCCCCCCCGACCGGGGCCCCAAGTCTCTCCCATTGGTCGAGCCAGGGGATGCGGGAGGGATGGCGGAGGGAGGAGGAGGACGACGACGACGAGGAGGAGAATGAGGAGGAGGAGGACGACGAGAGGAAGAGGAGAAGGAGGAGGAGGAGGAGGAGGAGAAGGAACAGTGGGGGGAGGATGAGGACGAGAGGAAGGAGGAGGAGGAGGAGGAGGAGGTGGAGGTGGAGGAAGAGGGGGAGGAGGAAGAGGAGGAGGAGGAGGAGGAGGAGGAGGAGGTGGTGAAGGAGGAGGGGGGAGGGAGGAAGGAGGAGGGACTCCCATGATGGTCCCACAGGCCTCCTGGAGTAACCTCCGACGGCCCAGGGTAATCCCCAAGACGGCCCAGCCACGGCCCCGGGATGGCTCCAGGGAGGCCCCAGAACGGCCCCAGGATGGTTCTGAAAGGGGCCGCCGATCTGCATGTTAGCCTCCGAGCTGGCTCACGGCTAGCAGACAGCATCCAGTTGCTGAGGAGCGGAGACGAATGGACAGCTGGAAGATAGGAGACCAGAGGATATATTAACCAGGCATGGCCGCGAGGGTTGCTGTGGTATTACACGAAAGAAAGGCACACATAACAAACAACAAACAAACAAACGATCAAGGCGGCTCCAAGAGGGGTCCCAAAATGGCGTCTCAGAGGGGCCCGCGTGGCCACACGAGCCCCCAAGTGGGCCCACGACGTCGTCCTTATCCGTCGTCATCGCCCGTTTTGCTCCTTCCTCGCTGTTCAGACGGTGATGGGCCAGGCGAGGGCTCGCCCTTCTCTTCCTCCCCTGCGCACTTTTGGGCCTCGCAGATGGAGCCAGAGTGGATGCGGTCGAAGGGCTGCTCCGCATCGACGATGCACCGAGTAGGCGGTCCAGTGTGGAGCCAGAGTTGCTCCACGCCGATGGCGGCGATGCATCGCCGAGGTTGCCGATGCATCGGCGTTGCCCTGGCGATGCGGCGCGCTCCTCCAACCCAACCTGCTCGGGCCCTACCCAGGAGGCCTGTACCCCTGCCCCCTCCTCTTCAGCCTCCTCCTGCCTCGGTGCTCCGTGCGCGCAGGCCCCAGACCCCCGACGTCATGATTCTTTCACGACGTCGAGCCCCAGGGTCTGGACCCACTCCACGGGACGGGCTTTTCATCCTGGGTCGTTTTTTGACGGTGCCGCGGCGCGGTGAGGGCCCCCAGAGGCCGAAAGCGTCGAACAACCCGCCGTCATGATTTCTGCATTCCTCTAGAAGGTCCCGCGGCCGGGTAAGGGCCCCCAGAGGCCGGAAACGTCGAAAAACCCGCCGTCACGATTTCTTCATTGCTCGAGGGGGGCTCGGGCAGTTCCGCTGAGCACGGGGGCGACGGAGGCCCGGCGCGACAGAGCCCGGGTTCCCCGCACCCCATCGGGGAACTCGGGGGTGCACGGCGCCGCGCCGCGTGGCGTGGCGTGCGGACCCTCCTGACCGGCTCGGCTGGCAGGATGAGAAAATGACTTCTCATGAGGGAACAGCCCAGAGCGGCACTAAGAACTAAGAATAAGAAAGAAATAGATAAAGAATAATAAGCAGAATAAGAAGAAGAAGCATAAGAAGAGGGAATGATAAGAAGAAGAAGAATACTAAGAATGAATACTAGAAGAAGAACGGAAAGCATCCGAATAACAAAATTACGAATAAAGCAAATAATTAGAAGAAGTAATAATCCTCAAATCACTCCTCACGTCCTCCTCCAGAATCACTCTAATCCTACATCATCACCGTAGTACTCATCATACGGCATCCTCATACTACTCCCCATCCTCATACTCCTCCTGCCTCCTCCCCCTCTCCCGCCTCCTCCTCTCCTCCTCCTCCTCCTCCTCCTCCTCCTCCTTCTCCCTCCTCCCTCCTCCTCCTCCTCCTCCTCCTCCTCCTCCTCCCCGTAGCCATTTTGGCTCAAGCCATTTTGGCTCAAGTTGCCACTTTGTCAAGGCAGCTGGCCAGGACAGCTTGTTTACCACCCTGGGGCAAGCCCCGACCAGGCCCTCGGGTGGTGTACGTGAGCTCCTGGGGGAGCAAGTGCTTTCATCACGATTCCATCTCAGTTCAGCCCGCCGCCATGTCGGACCGCAGGCGTGGAGGCGGCAAGTCCCCAGTTCCGAGGGTTTCTTTCTCGACGGACTTCGTGGGATGCAAGAAGTGCGGCTACCGGTGGACCTACAAGAACAAGCAGTCGTGCTACAGCTGTGGGCAGGCCCTGCGACCATCGTACTCCCCTGCTCCCAAGCCCCGTGGCGTCTGGGCTAGCGGCGGCAGAGGCTGGTGGCAGGACAACCGCAAAGGTCAGGCCGACTGGTACCAGGACGTCGAGGAGACCGCGCCGAGGACCGAGCCGCTCGCGATCGGCGAGGTGGTGCAGACCCTTGGCGGGCAGGCCGTCTCGGAAGCCCAGCGGCAGGCGCTCCAGCAGCTCGAGAGCGCCTTCGCCCCACCGCCCCCTGCAGAGCGCCCCGCGCTCCTGGAGGAAGGCATCCAGCGGGCGGCTGCGGCGGAGAGGGCTGCTCGTCGGGAGCTGGAGAAGCGTGCCAAGCAGCTGGCCGACGCCAAGCTCTGGCTCGACGAGTGCCAGTCTCGCTCCGATGCGGCGGCGGACGCCCTGGTGGTCGCGGAGGACAAGCTGGCGCAGGAGAGGAAGGCGTTGTCGGCTCCAGCCAAGGATCCTCAGCCTGAGGGGTCCAACAAGGGCGGCGGGGTCATCAACCTCTCTGCCCTGCTGGGCGAAGGCGAAGCCAGTTTTGTCATCGAGGACGGCCCCCTCTTCGACCTGGAGGGGCTGGACATCACATCCGAGCAGCGTGAGCAGTTCAACAAGCTCAAGCAGACATTCGAGGCGTCGGTGCAGCAGGCGGTCCGCACGCACTTCGGGCCAGGGGCCGACGTCCTCAAGTCCCAGCGCGAGCAGCTCGAGGAGATCAGGGTGCTCCGCGAGACCTTCAAGACGCGCAGGCGCGAGGACCCTCCTGCGGCTGCGGCGGCAGCAGAGGCGCCAGCGCCCCAGAGCCCTGAGGGAGGCCCGCCGCAGGCGCCTGCCCAGGCCAAGCGCGAGGACCCTCCTGCGGAGGCGGCGGCTGCAGAGGCCCCAGCGGCCCAGAGCCCCGAGGGAGGCCCGCCGCAGGCGCCTGCCCAGGCCTCCCAGGAGGCCCAGCAGGCTGGCCAGCCCGCCGCGGGGCCGCAGGGATCCCAGGGCGCGACGCCAGGCGCTGCCAGCGCTGATGCTGGCCCTGATGCTGGTCGTGAAGCAGCTGGCAAGGAGCTGGCGGACGCCCTGCAGCGCGCCAGGGCTCGCAGGGCGGAGGCAGAGGCCAAGCCAGTGCCTCTTTAGCCCGCGCGGGTTCGGCAGTCTGGCTTCCACGGCTGCAGGTACCAGTACACAATGCTCTACATGGCCGGGCTCATGGCACGAGTCCAGCACGTGGCAGGAGCCAGAGCTCTACAGCGGGTCTCCTCCTGCCGCAGTACCCAGTACATCTTTCTCTACATGGTCAGGCTCTCAGCAGGAGCCACAGGCGGGGCAGGAGCCACACTTCTGCTCGCGATGGTCAAGTTCACCGAAGACTGGCCCCCCACGTCGCCGCGGCAAGGGCGGCGCGCGCAATGTGGGGCTCGAGTTCATAGGCTTCAATAGTTCTTCGTGGGCGCAGGCCATCGATGTTTTGGACGAGGCCGCCACAAGGAAGATCGTTGGCCCCATGCACATCACTTTCCTTCAAGAGCGTAAGCTGAGTGCGCCCATTGCCAAGGACATCGAGGCGGCCAGCTTCAACAGGCATTACACGGCAGCATTGGTCCCAGCCGTCAGCGGCCCAGGCGGACGTCCGTCTAGTGGAGTTGGCTTGATGCCCCCGCCCGCACTCCTTCCCCTCCCTCCCGATTCCCACCCGCCCCCCCCCCCAATCAAGCCAACTCTCCACACCCTCCCCCACCCCTCCCCCCCCCCCGCCCCCCCCCACTTCTCCACCCCCCACTCCACCTCTCCCTCACCCCCCCCCCCCCCCCGCTCCCACCCCCTCCCCCCCCCCACCCCCCACTAACCCCCCCACCCATCCCTTCCTCCTCCTCCCCCTTTCCCTCCCGCCCCCCCCCCCTCCCCAATCCCCCCACTCCCCACCCCTTCCCTCCCTCCCCGACCCGCACCCCCCTCCGCCCCTCCTCCCCGCACTCCTCTCCTGCTCCCTCACTCCCACCGCACTTCCCCCCTCGGCTCCCCCCCTCCACCCCACCCCGTCCCCCATACCCCCCCCCCAGCCCCCCCCCCCTCCATCTCCCTGTCCCCCAGCCATCCCCCCTGTTCCAAGAAGTGTTGGCCTCACGCATCTTGAAGGCATGAATACGTTTGATATCTCACCGCCTGGGTCGTCTGGCCGCGTGGCTGTGGGCTGGTGCTCTGCAGGCCAGGAGGGTGGCCTCATGATTATCACGGCATACTTTTGGACACGGGAAGGTTGGACGATTCGTAATTTGTCGATTTTGGAGGCCATTGCAACGGTCATCAAGCAGTATGACATACCTTGGGTATTCCAAGCAGACTTCAACGAGACGGGGGAGTCCTTGCTCAAGACGGGCTGGTGCCAAGATGTGGGTGGAGTTGTGCGTCTCCCTTCTACCACCACATGTTCAGGAGTCGGCGGTGGCAGTATCATCGATTTCTTTGTGCTCGACGCCCGCATCCAGCATGCCTTCGGAGACACTGTAGAAGTGCTAGACGCCGCCGCCTCACCGCACTCGCCTGTTCGCTTAGTCACGCAGTCCAGGATGCGAGCAAAAGGCGGCTGGAGGCTTGCCAAGCCCAGACCTTTCCCAATGGAGAGGCCGTTCGGACCAGTTCCGCAACCTGCACAGTGGCCAGCTTTCGATCATCAGGACGATTTAAATTGCACCCAACTCGATCAGCTTTGGAAGCAGATTTCATACAGTGCTGAAACAGAGCTGGTGAATCTCCTGGGCGTGGAAGAACCTCAATCCTACCTCGGTCGGGGTGATCCTCCTCGGTGGACCTGGGCCCCCCTCGCTGGTCCTCAGTCGCACGCGCGCCCCGGGGGAACACCTAGCTCCCGAGCTTGGCGGTGGGTCGCCGCTCGAGCCAGTGATTTTATTTTTCTTGCACAGGCTGCCCAGCAGGAGGGCACCTGGCTGCATGCACGCGCGCGACGAGCGAAGCTCGAGCGTCGCATCGAAGGGGGAAGGGTTCGGCTGGTTCACGACTTGGGGGAGGAGGCTGAGCACGTAATCGCCCAGTTTGAACGATATCGCGCCTTTTGTCTCGAGGGCCCAGCGCTCATGGAGCAGGCCCCTGAGATCATGGGTCTCCAGCGTCGTGCAGTTGGCAACGCTCAGACCATCGAACGGCAGCAGGCAGCCGCACGATCGAAAGAATGGCGTGAACGTTTGAAGAAAGAGTCGGCAGCAGGCTCTTCTTTCATTCATAGGGTCAGCAAGTGGCGTACCCCTCCTCCTCCCGTCACGGGTTACTCCGTCTCCAACCTCGAGCTTGCTGATCCCCAGGAAGCGGCCGACAGGGCCGCGCAAGAATGGTTCGACGTTTGGGGCTCCCATGGACAGGAAAGCACGGGTCCCTCGGACCGACCCTGGGAGGCCGCCCTTTTCGCCCATCCGTTGGTTCACCTGGACCGCCAGCAGTTTACCAAAATATGTTTGAGTTTTCCTGCCAGGACGGGAATAGGCTCCGACCACTGGCACCCACGCTGGTGGGCCTGGCTTTCGGACGAAGGTAAAGACTGCCTCATTCAGCTGGTGATGTTTATCTCTCGCACGGCACAGTTCCCTTCGCAGGTAAGGTACATTATATACTTCCTACTTTCCAAGGAGTCGGGAGGCACTCGGCCGATTGGGCTCCTCCCCTCTCTCATGCGTGTGGTAGAACGAGCTCACTCTGGCCTCTTTCACGACTGGGAGCGCTCTGCCAAGCGCAAATGTGACTCCGGGGCCCTTGAGGGGGCTCCGAAGAGGCCGCGTGGCACCAGATGGTGCACGATGAGGGGACGCGTGAGGGGGAGGCGTCGGTGGCGGGAGTGCTGGATCTGTCGCGTGCGTTTGAACATGTTACCATGAATGCTCTGTGGGTGGTTGCCCCTCTTTGCGGTTTCCCTCAGCAGCTAGCCGAGCTTCTTATCAGTATCTACACGTCCACTAGGCTGGTTGCTTTTCGAGGGGTCCTAGCCAAGAAGTCGCTTCAAACTTTCTCGGCCGTCGTGGCTGGGTCGATCGGTGGCACCAGGGCGCTCAAGATGGTGGTGCTGCAGGTCACCGATGCTATACATCAAGCCTGGGGGGCTCGCCTCCAGATGAAGCTGTTTGTCGATGATCTTAGTATCCAGGTCCGAGGAGCCTGGCAATGTCTCACTGTTCTGCAGGCTGCTGTCACCTTCTATATTCGTGAGATTGAAGGTACCTGGCGCATCCCTGTCTCCCGTGGTGCCCGCGGTAAAGGGTACATCCTCGTCGCCGCGGCCTCGGCTCGGAATCGCTGCGCTGCCTGGGCCAAGGACTTGGGTCTTGCCATCACCAACACCAGTTCCCAGCTGGGAGTGGATAGCGCTGGAGGCGCCGTGGTTCGCAAAAGGAAGAAAATGCAGAAGCGATTTAAATATGCATGCCAGCGCAAGTCTAAATTAAAAGCCCTCTCGAAGCAAGGGGCCCGCCTCGCCATTGTTGTCCGCCAAGGCGTGATCCCGTCCGTGACCTACGGGTCTAGCTGTTTAGGAGTCTCGCCTGTTTCCCTGAACAGAATGCGGGTCATGGTCTCGGGCAGCCTTGGCGGTAGTGCGGTTGGTCGAGACAGAGTCCTCCGACTCTGGACGCATCAAGTTGATCCTGTGGTCGAGGGTTCGCAGAAGCCGATTTGCATGCGGGCCTCGCAGGCCTGGAATGGTGTGCATCAGGTAGATATGGCCAGGGCCTGGCGCAGGGAAATGTCTCGCGAAGCGACTAGACGGAGTCAACCGCTAGATCGCCCCTGGAGCCAAGTTCGAGGGCCTGCGTCTGCCTGTAATCGTACGCTGCAGCGGCTGGGCTGGTCCTGGCCTAGCTGGCATACCATTCGCATTCACACTGGTGAACTGTTTGATATGCGCCGATCGGCGCCCAGCACGTTGCGCAAGTATACCTATCTTCGTTTGGAGGATCAAGAGCTCACCGACTGGGCCACGCAGCGTGGCATGCCGTTTCGGAAGCCTTTCCTTGAGCCTTGTCGTGCGGCAGTCAGGACAAAAAAGAAGAAGGGCCAGAAGCAGTCGGCAATGCTAGCTTTCCTGCGTGGCGATTTTTGGACGCAAGATAAGGTTTGGAGAGCCGGCCACTCGGAAGATCGAAGCTGCCAAAAATGCGGACACGCCATCGGTAACCAGCACCATAGATTCTGTAAGTGTCCAGCTTTTCAGGAGCAGCGCCGGGCTGCAGGTGAATCCTATCCAGATATAATCCACCGTGCCTCCTCCTCGGGCCCCTCCTCCCACCTCTTCTCCAGGGCTCTCGCGCCTCACCCACTGGGGGACCCATTCCAGGACGTCACGCCCAGCATTGAGACCCTGGACCCCGAGTACGGGGACGATCCCCTTCTCTCGGGCCTGGCCTACTCGGATGGGTCGGGGGTCGGGGTCTCTGGGCTGAAAGCGCTCGGTTGGGGCTTTTGCTTTGTAGATCAGCAGGGTAACGTACGCAAAGCAATGCATGGCGCGGTTCCAGGTGTTAGGCAGGCACAGAGTGTGCTTAGGGCAGAATTGTATGGCTTTCTGAATGTTCTTCGGCACGGCACGGCCCCTCTTCAGGTAGGGATCGATAATTCCACAGTCGTTCGGGGCTTCAGGCGAGGCCCAGTCTGGTGCCGCCAAGCCAGGCGACCGCATGCCGATTTATGGCACATGATTTGGAATGCGATTGAAGACTCGTTCTCGGGGGAGGGGGACCTCGTCGTCGTCAAGGTCAAAGCGCATTCCAAAAAAGGCTTATGCCCAGCAGCTCGAGGGACTCGAGCTTTGCAACTACCTCGGGAATCAATGCGCCGACCTTCGAGCGAAGGAGGGCGCCAAGCTTGACGCCATCCCGCCGCATGTCCGTGACACGTGGGTGTCTAGGTCAAAAGAAGTAAGTGCTGTTCTTGGGCTTGTCGGCGACATGACTTGTAAGATAGGCACGTTTGATGACACTACTGGCCGCCTTCAGAATGCCTCCCAGCCCCCTGGCCCTCGGCCGCGCCGTGCGGTGCTGCCTCCTCCTGAGTCTCGTCACGTCCTGGAGTGGGATCGGGGGTCTTGGAGGTGTGTGAATTGCGCCAGACGGGCCCACAGCTATAAGGCCAAGCTGGTGTTGTCTCGTAAGTTTTGTAGGAAGGGTTTCTCCTCCCACGGTAAGTGGAAGGAAATAGCACGTGTCGACGGGGCTCCTTTGCAGGGGCCAAGGCGACACAAGCTGTCTCGGATAGGCCACTATACTTTCTGTCGTAAGTGCGGCGCATTTTTGAGCGCCAGGGCTTGTGGTCTACTTTTTTTCAGAATTGCACCCCAGGAGTCCTAAGGGACGTATCCGTATGGGTGTTGGTTGTCTCGGGCGTAATCGAATTGCTGGCAGGTAAGCATTCCTTATAAGAAACGAAAGACTGCTGGAGAGGTGGTGTCGCGCTGTCAAGGACCCTAGGAATTGGAGTTCTGAGTCGGGTGGGATTGCTGCAGAGCTTCCTCCTCGCCGCTGGAATCGGCTTAGAGGCCCAGTCTTCCTCACGCGCTCATGCGGAGGGAGGTCTAACCAGGTCTCTGTCGCAGGTGGACCGCGAGCGTTCGTGTAAGCCAAAGTTGCTCGCCCACGCTTGTGCCGCGGGAAACCTCTCCTCCTCCTCCTCCTCCTCCTCCTCCTCCTCCTCCTCCTCCTCCTCCTCATCCTCATCCTCATCCTCATCCTCATCCTCATCCTCATCCTCCTACTCTCACTCCTACCACTACTCCTACTCCTACTCTCGCTCCTACTCCTACTCCTGCTCCTCCTACTCCTCCTCGAAGAGCGGTGAAGAGGCGGCCCCCAGAATCGGCGCGATGCCGTCCCTGGGGTCGCCCCGAGGGGCGCCCTGGAAGCAAGTGGCGCCCCCCCCAGGCCTGAGGCCGCCCCGAGCGCCCCCCCCCGGGAGGTCGCCGTGAGTGCCACGCCGTCCTCGTCACCGCTGCCTGCAGGATGCCCTGCTGGGATGGGCGCGGGGTTTGCTAAAGGGATAGGGGGGTTATCAGTGGACGCCAAAGGGGTTATACCTGGCCTAACCTAGCTTATAAGTGGGTTGCACATGCCCCGAGTGGCTTAGGGGGATTAGACAACTCCGCTAAGTGGGCGGAGACCACTTAGCCTGGATCGCTATCCCCCGAAGCTTCTTTGGGGATCAGCAACTCACTAATAAGCTAGGTTAGGCCAAGTACAGCCCCTTGGGCGTCCACTGATAAACCCCCTATCCCCTGAGCAACCCCCGCGCCCATCCCAGTTGAGCCTGGACCGAGCCCGAGCGGCGTCGCTTGCGCGACGCGTCGGCCCGCGGGACGCACGGCCAGGCTCGCGTGAGACTCGGCTGCCGGGCGGCGCAACGGGCCACGACGCCCCGGGCGGGGATGCCGCGGCGCAGCCGTGCATGGACGTGTCGGGGGCGTCCAACCCCAGACCCCCTCGAGCAATGAAACATCACGTCGCGTGATGTTTCGCCATCTTCGGCCTCTGGGGGCCCCCACTAGGCTTCGGGACCGTCAGAAGACGACTCAGGATGAACAACCGGTCCCGGGGAATAGGTCGAAACCTCTGTGGGCGGCAAGAAAACTCTCGACGGAACTTTTGTTGACTTTTGGTCGGTTCAAAATTTTGTTTTCAAAATTTGACCATTCGTTAGAGCTCTAGTATTTTTTCTCGTGATATTCGATCTGATTCCCGCTCGCCATCTTGATCTCAGCTCGATCGGGTAACTTTGAAGGCCAAAAAGCTCAGTGGTCTCGGACCCAAACGTGCTCGCGTCCGGAAAAACTCGGGACGGGAGGTCGGTTGGCCGCTCTGGGCCTCGGGGGGGCCCCCGCCGGGCCCCGGGGCCGCGCAGAGACGGGCCAGCCGGAGGGCCAACTGGCCCCCTGGCAGAGGGCCCAGGCTTCCGGGGACCCCTCCTCCTCCTCCTCCTCCTCCTCCTTCCCCTCCTCCCCATAATCCTCTCCAACTTCCAGCCTATCCTCCTACTTCCTCCCTCACCTACCGCCTTGCTCCCATCTCTCCTCCTCCTCCCGCAGACGTCTGGGAAGGGTGTCCCCGGCCCCGGGTGTCCTCTGCGTCTCGTTCCATTCTTCGGGGGCGGCCAAGAGGGGGGGGATGACTACCTAGTGAGAGGGGGAGACATCATGGCGGGGGCCAGAGTATCTCCCCAGACTTCATGGCGCCTCTTCGTGCTTCATTACCGCTCACCCCCCCTGGGGCCGCGCACATGCCGCCGGCCATGATTAGCGCCCCCCCCTCGCGGACGTCCCCCTTCTTGGCCGCCCCCGAACTCAGAGGCCCCTGAGGCCCTCTGAGCCTCGTGGGGAGCGCTCTGGAGGCCACCCGGGCCTCGGGCTTCGCGCGGCGCTGGCGCGCCGGCGACGCCGACGCATGCGTTCGAGGTTGAATTCCACGACGCGGCAGCCCCGACGGACGCGGCAGCGCCACTGGACCCGGCGGGATTCAACCTCGAACGATCGGAGTCGCGATCGATTCCAGGTTGAACGATCGACTCGGTGTCAAAAACCTTTGCGCGTGCCGACGCTGCACGAACCTACCGTATAGCACCCGAGCGTGGGGCACCTCCCAGTGGGTGGGGGGGCACCGTTCTCGAGCGGGCATGTTCGGGAGGCACACCGGGCTTTCCCGGGCCGCACCATTCGAGAGGGCACGGCCGCGCACGATTCCCCCCCAACAGAACAGGAGCACTCGGTTCCACGCTCGGGGCGCACCTGGCACACTCCCCGAGCCCGCACACTCGGGGCGCACTGGGATGCAACAGTGGCTGGGCCTGGGACGCACCATCCTCGGGTGGGCACACGGAATGTATATGGGACGGTCTTGGGCCGCAGCGCTGTCTGGTCCCGGGGCGCACCATCCTCAAGCGGGCACGCACTCGGGACAGCCCTGGAGCGCAATGTTTCTGGCCCCAGGGCGTATCATCCTCGAGCTGGCACTCGCGGAGCGTGGATCCAGGGGAAGCAGCCAGATCGCTCAAGGCTTTCGCCCCCGACTCCCCATGAGGGCGCCGCGTGTGTTGTCATTCGTATTTGGCCACTACGGAAGCCCTACTATAGACGGTGTGGGACGAAAGGAATGACGCTGAGGAGGAGAGGAGGAGACCAGGACTATGAGGACGCGGTGGGGGAGGAGAAACAGGACGTGCAGGAAGAGGATGATGAGGAAGAGAGGCAGAAGACGGAACTCAGGGAGGGCGCAGGGAGAGGACGACTACGTGGAGACAGGGAGAGGAGGACGAGAAACACTTACCGTAAGGAGAGGCAGTGGCGGGAAACGAGACGGACAGGAGTCAGGAAAAATCGGAGCAGGATGATGGCAAGGGAAACAAGAGGAGAAGATGATATGAAGGGAGAGGTGAAAGAGAATGAGGAGGAGGAGGAGGAGGAGGAGGACCAGTGTAAACCCAAGAGTCATCAACGATGTTGGAGTACATCCTCACTCCAAGCTCCCTCTTCATAGCCTCCTACAGCGAAAGGTTCATTCCCATTGATGGAACTGCCTCGTTGGAAGACACCCGTTTGAAGACCCTGGAGCATACTAAAACATTGTTCTCGGGATTCCAACACCACGGATAGACCTGACTGTTGCGTCTTGGGACAGACCACGGATAGACCGGATTCCAACACCACGAATCGTGCCAGAACGCAATTCTTAGGATTTCAACACAGCGAATCAACGTAACTGTTGCACCCGCATAATCTTGAATTATTCCAGAACACCATTCCTGGTACGGTGACGATGGGAACCCGTGAAACTCTTGCAAAGATTTAAAACGAATGTGCGCGGCGATGATGCGAGAATCACAGTTTGAGATTTATTCGCTATCAATCCGTGAAACCCTTGCAAATGTTGAAAGCGAATGTGCGGCGCTGAGGCGAGAGCCACATTTTGAAAACGATTTGCCTTCAATACATGAAACTGTTGCAAATGTTTGAAACGAACGTGCGCGGCGCTGAGGCGAGAACAACATTTTGAAAACGACTCGCATTTTGTTGTTTGTCTCTTAATGCGCGCCGCGCTAAGGCGAGAGCCTCATTTTGACAGCAACCCGTCCTCCATCCGTGAAACTGTTGCCAATGTTTAAGCCTCAGTGTCATACATGGTGAGGAAGTCTCGGGCGAAACTCCCGACCCGCCCTAAAAACTAGCCTTGGGGAGCGACAGGGAGAAGTTGTTTATAAGGAAAAGGAATGGATGAACCAGACGACGGGGGTGTTCATGATCGCCTCGCTGTGACGGTTTGTGTTGTCGGCGCACGGGTTCACCAATCAAAGCTACACATACACACATACACACACCAGGCGTTGTATTCGGCAGTATGGCTTCCCATGCAGCATAGGAGGTTGTCATTTGTTTCATTCACGGCATCCCCTTCGTTGCCAATGTTGCCTGAGCTGGAGGGACTAGAACCTAAGCGCGCGCGAAACGCCTGCGTGGCTCGGGCGTCCACGGGGCACGCATCTCCCAGAGCGCGCGTGAGGCGTCCAGAAGCTTGAGCACCGTAACAATGGGATGCCCCCAGAGGCTCCTCCCCCCTGGGGGGGGCCTCCTAGAGTTTCCACGGGACCACCAGGGCAGCTTGAGGGGAACGAAGCATGGCATAAACACAAAAACTCGGAGGTCCGCGCGGATTTCTCGGATCGGCGCTGGACCCCCCTGGCGGCGCCTGCGGCGCCGCCCCTGGCGCGCTCCGCGGCGCCAGGCGGGGGGGAGGGTCCAGCGCCGACCGATCCGAGAAATCCGCGCGCGACCTCAGAGTGTTGAAGCTTCCTCGATGCATCTCTCCACAGGGTCGGGGTTTTTTTGGTGGTCGAGAAGTGCCCCTGTGCCCAAGGTGCCGTTTTCCCTGGCCCCGGGTCCGTGTGTCTGTGTGTCTGTGTGTGTGTGTCTGTGTTGTCGTATGTCTGTGTGTGTGTGTGTCTGTGTATGTGTGTCTGTTTGTGTGTGTCCTGCATGTCGTCCTGTGTTTTTGTGGGTCTGGGGTGTGTGGTGTGTGTGTGTGTGTTGTATGTGCGCCGTGTGTGTGTGCGAGTGTGTGTGTGTGTCGTTGTGTGGTCTTGTGTGTGGTGGGGTAGGGAAGGGGGGGGGTGCTTGGGCTGTGGGGGTGGGGCTAGGGGGTGGGGGGGTGGGGGTTGGGGGTGGGGGGGTGGAAGTGTGGGTGCGGGTGCGGGTTGCGGGTTGCGGGTGCGGTGAGGGCGGGGGCGGGGCGGGGCCGGGCGGGGAGACGGGGCGGGGAGGGCGGGGCGGGGCGGGGCGGGGGGGAGGGTGGTCTTGTTGGGGGGTGAACATGGGGTGGTGTGGTGGGTGGGTGAATGGGGGGTGGGTGGGTGGGGGTATGGGCTGGATGTGAGTGTGGTGGGTGTAGTGGGTTTGTGGGCGTGTGGGGTGTGGGTGTGTGGGTTGTGGGTGTGTGGGTTATGTGTCTGGGTGTGTGGGTGTGGGTTTGTGGGTGGGGTGTGACTCTGAACAAAATGTGCGCGAGTGCGCGTGTGCGCAGTTTCTTGTAGTGAGTGTGTGCGTGTGTGAGTGTGTGGATGTGTGCGTGTGTGTGGTGTGCGAGTAGTGTGTCGAGGTGTGCGTTCCTGTGTGCGTGTGTGCGAGTGTGCGTGCTTCTTGCAATTCTTCTTTGGTGTAGTGTGGGATCCCATGGTTGCTGTGTGTTTGAGTGTGTGTGTGTGTGTTTGTGTGTGGTTGTGTGCGTGCGTGCGTGCGTGCGTGCGTGCGTGCGTGTGTGTGTTTGTGTTTGTGTGTGTGTTTGTGTGTGTGTGTTTGTGTGTGTTTGTGTGTTTTGTGTGTGTGTGTGTGTTTGGGTTTGTTTGTGTGTGTGCTTGTGTTTGTGTTTGTGTGTGTTTGTTTGTGTTTGTGTTTGTGTTTGTGTTTGTGTTTGTGTTTGTGTTTGTGTGTGTGTTTGTTTGTGTTTGTGATTGTGTTTGTGTATGTTTGTGTGTGTGTTTGTGTGTGTGCCCTCCCTCTCCCTCCCTGCTGGGCTTCCCCTCCCCGTCCCCCCGTCCGTCCGTCTGTCGGCCCGGTCTGTCCTCCCTTGCCACCCGTCTCTCCTTCTTCCCTTCCAGTTCCTCGGCTCCTCGCTCTCCTGCCCGCCTCTCGTCCTCGCCTGGCCCGCTCTCCTCTGTCGGCCGGCCCCGCGGTCCGAACAAGAGCTGCGGCGCTGCCTGTGGAGGTCCCCCAGCTCCTCGCTCCACATCCGAGCGCCCTCCGGCCACGTGCGCGAGGGTGTGGCCTTCCTGGGGGGCATTTTTTCCTTGGGGCCTGCCCAGCATTCGAGGCACCCCGGGTCGGGCCACCCGCGGGCTTCTCCAGGGGGCTCTGCAGAGAGAGAGAGAGAGAGAACAAAAGAGAGAGAGAGAGAAGCGAGTGAGAGAGAGAGAGAGAGACAACACAAAGATATAAAGAAATCAAGA